CTGCTACGCCGACTACTACGAGGACGACTCCTACTAAAACTGCTACTACAACTACTACTACGGCTACGAATACGAATACGGTTACGACTACGACTACGACTACTACTGCGACGGCTACTACTACTACTACTACTTCTTCTAAAAATTGTGCTACCACTATTGCTAGTCTGACTACTACGTCGTTTACGACTACTGCTTATTCTGCTATTACTTATTCTTCTACTACTGGTTTACTTCTACTACGCCTACTACGATTACGACTGTTCCTTACACTACTACTACTACGATTACCACGATTTCTGCTTCTACTAGTGCTACTCGTGCTACTAGTAGTACCAGCACTACTAGTACTACTAGTACTACCAGTACTACAAGTACTACTAGTACTACTAATACTACTTCTCCCTCAAATACTATTTCGTCGACTACTACAACTTCTACTAGCACTCCTCATTCTTCTTTCACTACTACTACTGCTACTACTACTACTACTACTACTTCTACTACAACTACTACATCAATTACTACTGGTAATACAACCACTACTGTTACTATTACTACTACTACTACTACTACTACTACTACTTCTACTACTACTACTATACTACTACTACTACTACTACTACTACTACTACTTTTACTACTACTACTAATACGTCTACTTCTACTACTACTACTACTACTACTACAAATACTACTTCTACTACTACTACTACTACTATTCTACTACGGCTACTACTACTACCACTACTACTACTACTACTATGGGATCTACTAATACTTCTAGTACTACTAAAAATACAACTACTATTCCTATAACAACAGCTACTAATAATACTACGGCTAGCTCTCGCACTGCGACTACTGCTACTGTTACCTCTTGTGCTACTACTTCTACTACGACGGCTACTACCAACATGACTACCAGTACTACTATAACTACCACGACTGCTACGACTGCTGCTTCTAATACTACGACTATTACTACTACAACGACGACTACTACTACTGCTATTTATTGCTGCTGATACTACTACTGCTACTACTCCTGTATCTATTCCCGCCGCGGACAATACAAGCACCTACGACTACGAGCACCACTGCTACGTCCACTGCTCGTGCTACCGCTGCTATTCCTACTACGACGACCACTACTAATACTACCACTACTAGTAGTACTACTACTACTACTACTACTACTACTACTGCTACTGCTACTGCTACTGCTACTGCTACTGCTACTGCTACTGCTACTACTGCTACTGCTATGACTAAGAAGACGGCCGCTCTTCCTGCTACTACAGTAATACTATGATTGCTATTTCTATTTTTGTTATTGCACCTGCAACCACGCCCTCTCCTCAGGCGAGACATGCCATTCTGGCCTCCACTGCCCGATTCCTTGATTGGAATATGCCCTTTTTGTGGTAGTGCGGCGTCGGTTGCTACGGCCAGTGCCAATAGGGACGCGGCCACAAGAAACCTCCGCAAGAAACCCAACCCTGAAACCCGCGGCCGCCCGCTCTCCCTCCGCCTCCTCGTCCTCCTCCTCCTCCTCCTCATCCAGCTCCTCCTCCTCATCATCGTCAGCATCCTCATCATCATCATCAGCAGCAGCATCCTCATTATCCTCGTCGTCGTCGTCTTCATTGCGAACGCCACGCAACCGCGAGCGCCACGCAACCGCCATTGCGAACACCACGAGCCTTCCTCCCGAAGGCCATCCTCGGTGCTTCGACGGCTTCACGGCAGTGGTGGCTCACCTCGCGGGGCATCTCCGTCGTGCCGATCGCCTTCGGCGCCCATCACGGATGTGGCACCCTCGGTCTCAAGGCAGGGCGGTATCCAGACCGTTCGCCTTCGTTCGCTCGCGAGCCATTCAATACGTCTGTACCAAGCCCCCGATACCCGCCCTTTTCGTTTTCGACTGCCTCCTTCGGGGGCATATCTTCATCACCTGCCACGCGCTTTTTCTGGGGGAAACCCATACATGGAACGAGGAAGGTCACAAAACATGAACGACTAGAAGTAGCGCTGGAACAAGGAGGGAATGGAAAAGAAGCGGGCGGAGAAATGCAATATGAAAAAAATTGGCATTGACGTGACAAAAAGAGAGAGACAAAGACAAAAAGAGAGAAATGAGAGAGACACAGAGTGAGAGAGAGAGAGAAAGAGAAATAAACACAGAGAGACTGGAAGAAAGATTAGGAAAAAGGGGGCCAGAGATGGACCAGAGAGAGCGCCACTCGCAGAACAAGATTGAGAGAATGCAGGGGCCGTGGGAAAACAACGGCGGATGGCAGTCCGAAGCGAGCGCATCGGGGCGTGGCCAAACAAGCCAGACGGGCAGACCTCGATGTGCGGCCACGGCGGTTTGGGCTTGTGAGCAGGCGTGTAACTTCCCCTGAAAGGCAAAGGGCGCGCCCTCACGAGACAGGCGGACAGGCTTGCCAGGGTAAATCCTGAGGACGTCTCAGGCGAGAGCGTGACTTCTGATATACATTGCAGGAAAATCTCCAGCGGCAGCGCGGCTGGTGAGTAACACCTGATGAAGTTTTCAGCGAGAGCGCGATTCCTGGCTAAATTTGACGGACGTCCCAAGCGAGAGCGCGATTCTGGAGTAAATTTCGAGGAGGTATCAAGCGAGAGCCGTTTATGTTGAAGTGCGGGACCCGACAACACAGTTTGAGAAGGAAGACTTCCCCCGAAAAAACAAGGCGGGAGCTCCGCGAAGGCCACCTCAATTGGAAAACAAATCAAGGTGCACCCGGGAGAGGGGGAATCAACAGCAATGAAATTGAGAATTGAACGCTCAACTACTATTATTATTACTACTACGATTACGAGTACAACTACGACTACGACTACGACTACGACTACTACTACTACTACTACTACTTCTACTACTACGACTACGACTACTACGACTACTACGATTACAGTTACGACTCCTACTACTACTGTTTTCACGACTAAAGATAATGCTACCTCTTGAACAAGTCCGTACGATTCGTATCACTCCTGGTACCAATATACATGCTACTACGACTGCGACTACCATTGGTACTGCCGGCGCGCATACGCCTTCTAAAATTTCTGATACGACTACTGCCAACACCACGGATGCTACTATCACTACGCCCGGTAGTACAGCGACAAGTGATACAACTTGTGTTGCTGCTGCTACTAAGACGACTACTATTACTACTACTCCTATGCCTACTCATATTCATTTCCCTCCTTCTCTTACTGCTACTGCTACTGCTACTACTATTGCTACTGCTACTGCTACTGCTACTACTACTACTACGACTACTACTACTACTACGGATACTCATCTTAGTGATATCGCCAGCACTACAATTATTACTATCCCTACTACTACAACAGGTAATACTACCACTACCACAGAAAATGCTACGACTACAACTACAGCACAAACTATTACTATTACTATTACTATTACTATTACTATTACTATTACTATTACTATTACTATTACTATTACTATTACTATTACTATTACTATTACTATTACTATTGCTATTACTATCACTATCACTACTACTACTACTACTACTACCCGAACTACTGCTATTACAACTATTACGCCTGAAACTACTGCTACGACTACTGCTACTGCTTGTACTCTACTACTACTTCTACTTCTACTACTACTACTACTACTACTACTACTAGTATTGCTACTACGACTAGTACTACGCCGCCATTACTAATACTACTGCTACTACTACGACTACTACTACTACTACTACTACTGCTGCTACCACTACTACTATTTCTACTTCTGCTAATGCTACTACCACCACAACCACCACCACCACCACCACTACTACTACTACTACTACTACTACTACTACTACTAGTGCTACAACCATTACAAAAAATACTACTCCTACTACTACTACGGCTATTACCACCCATACTGCTACGACTAGTACTACTACTCAAACTAGTATTGCCTCTACTACAAGAACCATTGTTACTGCGAGTAGGACCACTACTTCTACTAGAAATACTACAGCCATCACTGCTACTACTGCTACCACAACTACTCCTACCACCACTACGACGACGACGGCGCCTATTACTACCGCTGCTACTACCACGACGACTACCACGACTACTACTTATACTACTACTACTACTACCACTACTACTACAACTACTGCTGCTCATACTACTACTACTTCATCTTCTACTTGTGCTACCCATTCTCTTTTACAAATTCCGCGACAAGCAAGACTACTACGAATACTTCGACTGCTACGACGACTACTACTACAACAGCTACTAATATTACTACTACTGCTGCCACTACTACTACCGCTGTTAATTGTTACCACCACTACTACTACTACTACTACTACTACTACTACTACTACTATCAATAATAATACTACGTCTACTATCACTTCTCCTACGACTTCAACGGTTGTCCAAGTCCAGCTTTAAATGTCCCTGCCGCGTTTTCTTCAAGGGTTGCAACGTGGTTGGGCCACGCAAGACCCTCATGCGGCTTCTTGGGTCGAGAGACGCACGCAACTGGCGCACTGGGCGATTCTTGGCACCCGTCGTGTCATTTGTTGCAAACAAAACACTGCAGTTTGCCCGACACCAGCAGATGAAGCCAACACTCGATGACGCTGAGACAGCGCGACAACTCTGCCATGGCCGACCGCACTGGAAAATTGAAGTTGAATGAGAAAATGGCTGTACCACTATCACCACCACCACCACCACCACTACTACTACTACTACTGCTACTACTACTACTACTACTACTACTACTACTACTACACCACTACCTACTACTACTACAACTACTACTACTACTACTACTACCTCTGCTACTGCTACTGCTACCTCTACTGCTACTACTACTACTACTACTACCACACCTAGTACTACAAATATTACTGCTGTGCAACTAATTCTTCTTCTACTACTACTACTACCGGTACTATTACTGTTACTACTGCTACTACTGCGAGTGCTAAGGGTACTACACATTATCATGCTCGGTTCTCTTCTGTGGCACGGCTGCAGCTGCTGCAGCTGGTATTGCAAACTTGAGATGGCAGGAAGGATAGTAACCTGGAAGACGACAGACAGAAAGCCAAGTACGTGTCATGCAATCGAAGCTCCTCGTGGTCCCCGGAGAGCGGGCCCCACCATTCGTCCTCGACCCCGCTGGTGTCAAGAGGCAGGTTGGCGAGCGCCTTGCGAATCCCATGTCGCTCATCCGCGTCGCCCGGCGCGCCCATGGCCCCCTCGGGTTGCTCATCGTGCTTCCACCCTGCATGTCCTCTTGCTGTTGTTGTTCCCCATCCTCCCTGTCTGCTAGCGCTGACCAAGGCGCAGGAGAGGGGCAAACGGAACAGAGAGGAGAAGGTGAAGAGCAGGTAACCTGCATTGAGAGGTCATGGTCAGCGAAATGCGCTGGTGTGGAAATAATGCCGCAGTGCTCTAAGCCCCCAACGGCAATGATAGGACACGATTATCCACTGCTGGTCAAGAACGGCAGCCTGCAAGGGACACCGAGGCATCACGACCGACACTAGACAGGACAGGAGACGGACGGACAGAACAGGAATGACAAGCGACAGAGCCAGAGAGACAGAGAGATAATAGAACGTGAGGGAGATATGTATTCGCACGTGCGTAAAGAGGCGCAGAAGAATGGAGGACGACGAAACTATGTCAACACACCTTGCGCACTGAGGGCTGGCTGCTGGGGATGGAAGATTCCTAGCCTGGTGCCCTAGGAGGCAAGAATTGCCTTGGTACCTGGGAAGGGAAAATTTGAGAAGGGCGTGCGGCGGCGGCAGGGGGTCCGGTCGCCAGCTAATCTCTGGCGGACTGACCCACGGGCCGAAATTCGAGAGGCCAGCTGCGACGCCGACGAGAAAGAAGCCGTCGCCGCCGCCATCCAAAATGAAATGATCACTCGTTGGGACTGCCGCGAAACTCGGTGAATGAGCGCCCCCATTGCCAATAGCGGGAACTGGGGCCTGCCCTCCTAAGGCCGTCCCGACCCGCGACGTCGGAGGAGTTTCGATGATGTCCACCTCCTAGGGAGCTGGCCTAACCTCCCAGGGGGCTACTGGACGGATGATCTCAAAATTTGCAGGTGGCAATTGTTCCCCCCATGGGGAGGAGAAGCCAACCACCGACACATCCTGAGGGCTGTTGGTCGATCGAATTTCAAAGATGGACGTGGACGAGAACGAACATCCGAAGATGCTGGAATTTCGTACGATGATCACTCAAAATCGACCATGTCCCTCCCGGGGTCTAGCCGACAAGCAAAATACAAACCTGAATGCGCTTTTGAAGGCTCCTGGACCCACACGCGGCTCTGCGTGACGCCAAAATCAAGCGAAAACATATCCCCGTGACGCCGAGAACGGCTCCAAAGCCACCCCACCCCTCATCCGGCTCCAAGGGCCGCAAGCCTCCAGGGACTCCCAGGCGTCCGCCAGGGCGCGGTCGGCGGGAGCCTTCAGCGGCGGGGGGAGCGGGAGGAGGACGACTCGACGCCCCAGCATGTGTGCGCTCAGCGGCGTTAGTAAGAAGAGGAGGCGGACGTGGACGAGGAGGAGGAGGAGACCGAAGGGGCGGTGGATGAGGAAGAGGCGGAGGAAGAGAAGAAGGAGAAAACGGAAGTTGAAGAAGAGGGGATGAGGAAGATAATCAGGAAGGCGATGAGGACGGCGGGGGGGGGAGAGGATGAGGAGGAGGAGGAGCAGGAGCAAGGTGGGGGGAGGAGGAGGAGGAGGAGGAGGAGGAGGAGGAGGAGGAGGCGGAGGAGGGGGAGGAGGAGGAGGAGGGAAGGGGGAGGAGGACGGGGCACAGGGGAACGATGGGGGGGTGAAAAGAAGGAGGAAGAGAAGGACGAGATGGATCAGGAGGAAGAGGAGGAGGACGGCCAGGAGGAGAAGGAAAGAGGAGGCGGAGGAGGGTAGTGATGAGGAGGAAGAAAATAAGAAGAGAGGAGGAAGGGAGATTGGGCAAGGAGAGGAGCAGGGAAAGAGGATACTGAGAATGGCGAAGAGGAGCCGCAAGGAGCAAGAGTCAACGGCCGTCGTCCTCATCCTCGTCTCCTCCGAGGCCGCGGGCCGTCATACTTCAGGGTCGACGGCGCTGGCCGTAAAAAGTCATGATCTCGGCAATGAGATCTGTCCGCGCAACCCTGAAAAAATACAACGCCCCAGAGATCAATAAAAAGCTCCGTGGTGATCTCCCGCGAAGCCCGCGGGGACCCCCACCGTGGAACCTCACCGACGTCCTGACACTCGGCCTTCGAAACATCCCGAATACAACACCATTCCAACCCTGTGGTTGTTATAACTGGGAGGAGGAAAAGGTACCGATACCGCTGACCCCCCGACCTCGCCTGGGGTACATTCTGACCAGCATTTCGAGGCGAATCCAGCGGAAACAACGAGAAAATCCCCGGAGGCCCAGGAGGGCCAGAATGGCGGCGGGTCAGCGGTATCGGTACCTTTTCCAGCCCTGAGTAACGGGAAAAGAATACTGTGAAGGTTCCTGAAGTAAATGTTCGTTGGAGGCGCCCTGCCCCAGTTCAGCAGAAACTCGAGGCCGTGGCGGAGTCCTCGCCCCTTCTCCGCCGCGTCTCCCGGATATTAAAGGTCGCTTCTTCCTTTATCGTTCCCTGCCCCTTCCACTCTCTCCTCAACCTTGGCCTCAGAAGAACCTCCAGCGGGTCGGACCCCTCGCGGCCGGATCCAACTGTCGATCAAAACTCGCAACGCACAACCTGGAAGATAAACATCGAGAACCGATTCGCGGACCCGGGTCTTCTGGACCACGATCGCGGCGGGACTTCCTCTCCCTCTTTTCCTCCACATCCCCATTCGGCGACACGAGATCCAATGAGTATCCGCACGTCTTTGATGCCGACAAATTTCCGGATCGTTCATTTCTAGTCGAATCCACTGCCAGCTACTTCGAAACCCTTTCCCCGCCGTAAACGCTTGCACGATGCGAGCAGGATCGTTTCTCTGGCATGAGAAGGGATGCTCGATTTGTCCGCCCGGTGCGAGTAGGGGACCGTGTTTACGGCAGGGCTCCTCCTCCTCGAGCTCCTTCTCCTCCTCCACCCTCTTGTCCTCCTCCTCCCCCTCCTCCTCCTCCTCCTCTCCCTCCTCCTCCTCCTCCTCCTCCATCCTTCTCCTTATCTTCCTCCTCCACTCCATCCGCCTCCTCCTCCATCCTCCTTCTTCTCCTTCTCCTCCTCGGCCCTTCTCCTTCTGCTCCTCCGCCTCCCACCGACGACCTCGACCTCGACCCGACGGCATTGATACCAACCGACGACCCTGACTTCTGCCGTAAGAGGGCCATTTGGCGAAGAAACATGGACTCGTATGCGCGCGATCCATAAATCTGCCGCGCGGGCGCCACACTGAAAGATTGGGGGAGGTGGCCTTCCCGAACTGCGCCGAAAACGCCTGCCTCGATCGGCAGCGGACATCAGCCATCTCGCATGGCCCCTGGACCCGGCGCTAATCCGCGACCTCCTTACAGCCGCATCAGAGGCAGCAGCGTGGAATGGGGATTCCTCGCTGCAGTGTCCTGGCGGAGAACCGCAGGCCACGCCGTTTGCAGGCCACACGGGGGCTCGATGTCGGGCCCTCGACGAGGGGCTCTTCTTCTCCTTGTGTCCCCCCTCTTGGACCCACGTCTGGCCCTCTTCCCGCCCAGTTTCTCAATATTCGTCCTCGTTGTCATTATCGGTCTTTGTCCTCCCCCACCCCCTCCTCGGCTTCGTCCACGTCCTCCTTCTCCTCGTCCTCCTCCTCCTGCTCCTCCTCCTCATGCTCATTCTCCCCCTAATTACTCCTCCTCCGCCTCCTGTTGTGGTTGCGCGCGCCCGCGATCATTTTGAAACTTGTCACCCGATTGCGGTTGCGCTTGCGGTTGCGGCCGCCCGCGGGCGTTTCTAAATGTGTCGCCCGATCGCGGGCGCGGATGCGCGCACCCGCGGGCCCGCGGGCGTTCTGAAATGTATCGCCCGATTGCCGTTGCGTTTGCGCGCGCGTGTTGCAATCCGTTGCCCAGCTGCGGATAATTTCGGTTGCGCGCGCCCGCGGGCGTTCCGAAATGCGTCGCCCAATTGCGGTTGCGGTTGCGCGCGCCCGCGGGCGTTTTGAATGTGTCGCCAGACGCGGTTGCGCACGCGCCCGCGGGCGATGCCGCCCAGTTGCGGTTGCACGCGCTCGCGGGGCGTTTTGAAATGTGTCGCCCAATTGCGGTTGCGGTTGCGGTTGCGCGCGCCCGCGGGCGTGCTGAAATATGTCGCCGGGTTGCGGTTTCGGTTTCGCGTTCCCGCGGGCGTTTTGAAATGTGTCGACTGGTTGCGGTTGAGGTTTCGCGCTGCGCGCTCCCGATGACGGTTTGAAATGCGTCTCCCGAGATGTTCTCTGACGTCAGTCAGTCAGTCAGTCAGTCAGTCAGTCAGTCAGTCAAATGTCAGTCAGTCCACGGCGGGGATGGAATTTCTCCCGGCTCCGCTGGAGAAACACTGTGACAATAACCCGGATCAAGAACGCGAGCCCTCCGCCGACAGCCGAGTGCCCCATGGAGGCATCCCAAACAAGGGGGTTCCAGAGGTGCTGGCCCGTTTGCCGAAGAATAGTAGGATGCCCTTCCGAGGTCGAGGGTGTTCTTGCGTTCGAGCTGCCATCCATGCCTGCGATCGCCACAAGATGAGGGACCAAAAAATATACCCCACCACCACCTCCATCCCCCAAATCCCCCCTCAGGGAGACAGGAAACGAAGAGGAGGGAGGAGAAGGGGGAGGGAGGAAGGTGGTGGTGGGGTATATTCCTTGGCCCTGGACAAGAGCGGGGCGCGGCCCGCGCGCGCGGTCGCCTCGGGCGTCTCCCCCGTCCCCTCGCAGGCGGCCTCCAGGACGGCCCTGAGGTCCTCCTGGTCGCCGGGGGGGGCAAGCAAAGGCCGGCGGTGCGCCGAGGGGGCCAGGGGGGCGCGCGCGAAAGAACGGAGGATCCGCAGGCCTCCTGTGATTCATCTGAGCGGCTGGAGGCCCTTGTCATTTTTCAGCGATGCCCTTGTCATTTTTCAGCACAGTGCTTCGAGTGAAACGTTCAGGAGCGATCATCCTGGGGGGCAGGGTTAAAAAACAAGTGTGTGTGTGGGGGGGAACATGCCCGATCACAGGGCTTATCGCCTGACCCGAATGAAAGTCTCTCCTGGGGGCTTCGGAGCTGGACGACGGGAAGGGCCAGCATGGTGAGAGTCGAGAGCGAGCGGAAGGAGGGGGCGTCCGGCGGGTCCCAGCTGTCAGCAGACAAGGCCACCTGGCAACCCTAAAACGAATATAGCACCCGCGCGACGCGCGACGTGCGATGCGCGACGCGCGGTCATCTTCACACTCGCAGGAGCCCCTGGGAGTAGGAACGAGAAAAGGCGACACCCAGATCACCCAGGTGGTGATGGTGTCGCCCCTCGCTAGAGACATCCCCCATCCAAAGCTCGGGGTCCTCGTGCACCTCATGTCTGCAGGAAGCCTCCCAAGGTTGTTGGTGGCGCTTTGTCCCCCCCCATAGAGACGAACAGACCTGCAGCCCAGACCGCGACACGCAAAGCGCGCCTTAGAGCACCGTCGCGCCCCGAGCGTCACTGTAGCTGAAGCCCGTTCTCCCGCTTGTCCAGCTTATCCCTTCGCTGCAGCTTGGGCCCCCTCGTCCGACCACCTTTTGAGCGGCAGTGCCTGCTGGCACTGGTTGCCGCTGCGCGCGAAGCGCTGTGAAATTATCATCGGTGAACTATCATCGATCATCGATAGACAACCAACCATGGGAACAACCATCGAGACAACCATGGAGACAACCATCGGAACAACCGTCGGGGCAACCATCAAGACAATCGTCGGGACAACCATCTGGACCACTATCAGGACAACCATCGGAACCACCATGGGGACAACCGTCGGGCCAACCATGGGGCCAACCATCGGGAACAACCATCGGAAACAACAATCGGGACAGCCATCGGGACAGCCATTGGGACAACCAGGGGGACAACCATCGGGACGACCATGGGGACAACTATCAAGACAACCATCGGGGTAACCATGTGGACAACTATGGGGACGACCACTCGGCAAACCACCAAGACAACCCCCAGGACAACCGCGGGCCGCGCTCTGATCTGGGGGGGGACGGCCTTAGTGACTTCATCTGGCGTCTACTAAGAAATGAAACTCCCGCAGCTTCGCATCGGCCGCACGCATGACACGAAACGAAACCGAAATCGATTTTCCAGTTGGGGTCACGTCCGTTATCACCCTGACCTCCAATACGTTTTCCCAGATCCTCATCAATCCTCTCCTCCCCCCCTCCTCCTCCAACCCTTCCGACCCCCTTCTCCTCCTCCTCCTCCTCTGCCTCCCTTCTCCTCAAGAGGAGGAGACTGGCCTGCACGCGGTCCCGGATCCTCTCGCCCACGGCAACGCCGGTGGAATCGACGCTGCCGATGCTGTTCTTCTGCTCGCGCGCCTCGCGCGCCGACCCCGCCGTTCCCGCACGTGCAGGAAACGGAGGGCGGCAGGGCAAAGGGGGGATCGGCAAGGGGGGCGGCGGGGTCGCTGTCGGGGGGAGGAGGAAAACAGTACAGGTCAGCTCTCTTGGGCCTGCTCCCCACTCCTCCTCCCTCGATTTTTATCGAGGACGAGGGGGGAGGAGGAAGGCCAAGAGAACTGGATCTGTACTGTTTTCCTCCTCCCAGTCGGGGGGCGGGCGGGGATGGGTTGCGAAGAAGGACGGGCAAAGGGGCTGATTAGCAAAGGGAGAGCGCAGTTTCCGTTTGGGTGGACGAGGCCAAGGGCAAAATATTCATTTAAAAAACAAGGTCGCTGTTGGAGCGGGCGGAGCTGGTGTGCGATGAGGGCGGGGTCAGGGTGGTGGGCGCGGTGGGGAGGAATGCGCGAAGGGTGAGGAGCAAGAGGGGTCGGCGACGGGGGGAGGGGGCGCGGTGTAGAAAATTGCTGGAGCCCTCCAGCGCACAGGGTGGTCTCGTATCGAAAAAAACATTGCTTTTTGGTTTGGCTCATGCAAGCCGAGGCCGGGAAGCAGCGACAACCGTGTCAGGGAAAGGCCCCGAGAGGAACAAAAAAAGGCTCCGAGGGTTTCCTAAGAGGGCGCTGCGCCTAGGGGCTATACTACAGTAGTAGCAATCCAACGGCAGAGCTCGAAGTGTCCTTCCCACTTCTTTGGCCGAATGCCTCGAGGATTTCACGGCGATGCGACGATGCTGTCAAAAAGCAGCCCTCTAGAACAGAAACACTAACGAGAAGACCAAGACGCTCCCAGAGGCCCTGGGGACCGCCACGAGTCCCGAATTCATCTCCAAAAACGTCAAAGAAACCAACAAAAACATTCTACAACTGATAGGCCTGTTTCCCACGACCACTACCATAGGCTGGAGGGGGAGGGGGAGGAGGAGGAGGAGGAGGAGGAGGAAGAGGAGGAGGGGGAGGGTGTAAAACGGTCCCATCAACAACACTTCGGGGAACATCAATAGCATCTCTGGCCCACCCGCTTGCCACCGTACTCATCAATGGTCTATCTGTCGTTATCCCTCTTCGGTCCTCCTCGTCTGTCAAATCCATGTCCTCCTTATGTTTCAAGCGATTCGTGCTGCATATTCCATGTTCCTTGGGTACGACGGCTTCCCAAGCAAACTGGAACTGTTTTCTTGACCACCCGTTCTTTTAGTGACAATGAATGAATCTCGTCTGGGCATTGTTGCTGGAGGGTCTGGTCGGCTGCTGAATTCAGCTTGAGGCATGTTGTGCCGATACGATCGTCGTGAGTGACTGTTAGAGCTTTACGCTCTAGGGTGAGATAACGACGACGTTCGCAGCCCGCTGCAAATCTCTCCCGCGGGCCCAATAGGTGACCAAATTCTGTGCCCCATTCTCCTCCCGTCCCCTCATTCCTGAATCGATATCGGGAAGCTCGCGGGCTCGACAACGTGACCCCCAGAGGCTTACAGAGAATAACCAAGGAATCAAACATCAACGGTTGTCAACCAAAGGAATCCGCGAACCCCTTAGAACGACAACTGCGCAGCACATGCTGAACCGTACAGGACAAAGCATCAACAGAGAACAATCATGCAAACAACACACATTCAATTAATCAATTAAAGCGCAACTCAACGAACCATGCGCATCAAAGGATACTTGGTGGCTCGACCACTCTTGCAGCAACACCGAACGCATGATACAGGTCGTATCGTTCAAAGTTTGTGGGCTGCTCTATGAACAGTGAGTGGCACAGCATGCCCAGTACGAGGTAATTTGAATGGGGTTATAGTATGAACACTTCGAATGGAAGAACCATCACCTCGGAAGAAATAACAGGATGATGGCGAATGATCCGCACTGTGCTGACCCCACCCCCAGCAACCTTCGAACACACAGACAATTTAACACTTTCTCCTCCAGCTCCTCCCCCTCCGCCCCCCTCCTCCTCCTCCTCCACCTCCTCTCCCTCTCCTACACTTTCCTCATCCCCCCCTCCTCCACCCCACCCGCTAAAGATGCCGACGTCCCGATTGCATCCGCGATGTCCAGCACTGTTCCCCCCATCGCAACCCTTACAAAAAGCGAACGTTTCACTTCGCAGCCCGCGGGTGACGGCAAGGTCCCGCGTGGATCCGCGATGTCCCTCGTTGTGCTGCATTTTCCCAGCAACAAGCGGCGGCGAATGCTACACTTCGCGATCCTACCAAAAATGGCGAAATCTCGTTGGGGTTCGCGATGTCCTCGAGGATGACAACGGATTCCAAATTCGTTCCGTAGGCGCTGGGATGTCCAACATTGTGCTGCCACCACCAGCCCCAAAGCAGCCATCCAACTGGCAACGCGAATACCCTCAAGGATAGCGGGGTCCCGCTTGGGACAGCGGTGTCGCAGACGGCGCTGCATCCGCACCAGACCCTCGAAAACGGTGGCAACTTTGCACTTGGCAGCCCCCTAAAGGTTGCAACGTCCCGCTTGGGTCCGCCATGTTCCACGCTGTGCGGCCCCCAAGAACCCTCGCAAGTGATGAACATATCACTTTTCGCAACCCTCCAAGGACGGCGAGGTCACCCTTGGGTCCGCGCACCGCGCTGTTCCCCGACATCCGTCGCAACAATTCCTCATTCACATTTCGCTGCCCGCCAAAAGATGGCAAGATCTCGCTTGGGTCCGCAATGTCCCGCAATGTGCTGCCACCCATCGGACATTGCGACAAGACTATACGTCGCATCCCAACAAAATTGGCAGAGCGAATGCCCTCGATTTACCCCGCACTGTGCTGCGACCCCTTTTGAAGCCCTCGAGAACTGCAAAACAGATTACAGTTCGCAACCACCAAAGGTGGCGAGGTCCCACTTGGGCATGTGATGTCCTGCGCTGTGCTGCCCCCCCTCAATCGCCCTCGAGCGTGGTAGCAATGCTGCACTTCGCCATCCCCCGAAAAATTGTGAGGTCCCACATGGGTCCGCGATGTCCAGAACTGTGCTGCGCCCCCCCCACCAGCCCTTCAAAGTGATCCACGGGAGCTTTTGTAAACATACCATGCGACGTACCCAACCCGTATGCATCATGGGCCAAACAAGGGACTTGTCCGATCTGAACTGGACAGACGCAAATCAAAAGAGAGACGATGATGACGACACTATATTATTGTGCACTCGAACATGGTGACAATCTCACACCTCGCACCCCCCCAGCATGGCGAAATCCCGTTTGGATCGTTGATGTCCCGCGCTGCGCTGCCCCCCGCCCCACAGTTCTCGAAAAAGGAAACATATTCACGCTTCGCAGCTCACAAAAGATGGATATCCCGCCCTGCGCTGAACCACCAGCAGCCCCCAAATACTTGCTTCGCGGCCGCCCCCAGGGATGGCGTGGTGAGGTCCCGCTTCGGTTCACGATGTCTCGCACTGCGCCGCCCCATTTCTGGGTCCTGTTGGTATGAACGAGGTGCTGGGAGGCCGGGGCGCGAAGTGGCTCGCTGGGGGCTGGGGTCCGCTATCCGATGCTGAGCGACAGGGGCGGCGGTGCGCGCGCGCCTCCCGCATCACGACAACGCCCTTGGAAGCGATGACGTCCTGCCCGCACCCGACGCCGCGGACCATCGAGGGCGGCGACCGTCCAAATTTCGTCGTCGCCGTCGCCGTCGCCGCGGATTGCGTCTCCGTCGCCGTGGGTGGCGTCGCGCCCGTAAAGACGATGAACTGGAGAGACGGCACGCGTCCAATTGCCGTCGTCACCGCCACGGTGTCGTCGCCGTCGTCCCCGTCTTGGGCCCGCCCCGGGGAAGGAGGGGCGCGATGTCAATCGCATCGCGTCCTTCAGCGCCACACACGTCGTTTCCAGGGCCCGCGTGAGGGGCGAGGAGTAAACGATGTCGGAGCTCATGAAGTGCGATGCCCAGTCCGCCTGGGATGAGGAATGAGGGGCCTCCTCCTCCTCCTCCTTCTCCTGTTCCGCCTCCTCCTGACTCCATCTTGCAAATGGTACTGGTACTGGGAACTCGGCCCAAACTGGTCCGTTGGCGATGGCTGTTGGCAAGGCCCCTGGGCCGATCTTCGCCTGGGAAAGGAAATCTGCCTGTCGGGGGGGGGGGGGGGCTGGCCTGTCGGGGAGGCCAAGCGCGCCAGGAGCGCCTCGACATGCCCACAGCGACCAGGGGAGGGAATGAGACGGAGGAGGGAAGAGCGACGAGCAGGGAGAAGGGGGGAAAAAGGATCACGGAGGAGGGGGCGAGGACGAATGAAGAGGCAGACACCTTCGCCCGATCCCCCTCCTCCGACGGAAACGTCCAAATGATGACCGTCTTCTTCAACACTACGGCGCCCATGTAGATGAAACTGGATGTCGAGACACGGGCTTTTCCATCGAAAATGTGGAGCCCAACATATCTCGGGGGCGGCCAAGAGGGGGGTGGCAAAGAGGGGGGTGTGCAAATCATGGCCCGAGGCATGTGCGCCGCCGAGGGGGGCCCCAGGGACGTAAAGAAAGAAGACAGGGCGCCATGAGATTCGCGGAGATATCATGGCCGGGGCCATGATATCCACCCCCCCCTAGTCCTCACCCCCCTCTTTTCCGGCCCCGAATATCCGTGCTGAAGCCCCTCCCCCTGCTCTCAAACGTGGACCACGGCAGCCAGTCGGCGGCGGCGGGGACAGACGTGGCGCCCGCCTTGCCGCCCATGCCGGGCGATTACAAGAACAAACCGTACAATGAAAGAACTCCAACACGACCAAGGTCAAGGTTAGAACGATAATGGGAGTTCCTCAAGCTTGCAAGTTCGTTCCCGAGGTTCGCATGTCTGCTCCATGGACATAGGCTGCGAGTATCATCAATTCGTCTGATGTGTTTCAGGCTACGTTCCATGTTTGATGCTCAGTGAGTTACTGAACGTGTATGCCGTGGATGCCCCAGATGCCCTTACCTATGCTACTCCGCCCCTCCGAGCACCAGTGGACGAGAAGGAGGAAAGGGGGAGTAGGTGGGGAAGGGCGGAAAAGAGACGTTCTGGGAGGACGAAAAGGTACCGATACCGCTGACCCCCAGACCTCTCCTGGGGTGCGTTCTGAGCAGAATTTCGAGGCGAATCCAGCGGAAACAACGAGAAGATTCCTGGAGGCCCAGGGGGGCCAGAATGGCAGCGAGTCAGCGGTATCGGTACCTTTTCCTGCCCTGACGTTCAGGAACAGGAGCCAGCCGGGCTGACCGCCTTGCTGCCCGCGCCGTTCTGCGCTTCCCGCGTGGCTCGGATGCGCTGGCGCAGCGCCGCGGCCATTCGCAGCCCCTCCTCAGTGCTGGGGTAGCCCTCCGTCGCCCCCCCTCCGTCCAAAAACGATACCTGTTGAAACTCGAACAACGCCAAAATAATCCACAAGTATATGTTTGCTGGTAGCATGATTCACAATGATAATTGCCAAGAGCAACCGCGAAGAGCTGGACATCTGGCAATGACCTTCGAGAAGACATTTCCCTGTGGGAATGACGCCCATTGGGAGTCCATCCGCGCTGATGCTAGTCGGATGTCTGATTTCATACGTTGCACCTCCGGATGTCCTTAGAAATGTTGCAGTGCACTGCGCTCCACTGTCCAATATTTTACTTCGAGTCTCAATGCTCAGAATGGTGTAACGTATTGACACTGTTGGATGCAACAGTCTTGATCAGACTGCGACGGCCAGGGCGGGAGATCAACTTGTCTCTAAGTCTATGTTGTCTAACGTATCTGAACGAAAAGTGTGGTGGCAACGTCGCGGCAAGATGCCGTGGGCACGTCTCCCCCTGCCCTGCCTCTGTACCTGCTGCGATTAGGGGGTGCGTCCAACCATACGAGCGAAACAAGGCGGAGTCTGTGGGAAGGAATGCACTCATGCAAGTCCCGCGGCCATCCAATCGATGAGAACGAAGGCGCGGGCAAAAGACGCGTCGAGAACTATGCATGGCACTGCGTCCACCGATGGACCATTGCCTCCTCCCCCCCCTCCGTCGTGCCTCTTCCTTCATCTCATCCGGTTGATCCTGCCTCCTGCTCCCTCCTGCCTGCCTGTTCTCCCTGCTGCTGTTCGTTGCGTTCACTTCCATGGGATGTCACTTATGTGCTGTCATTCGTTTTCGTGCTCCGCCTCCCTCCTCAATCCGATTGATCCCTCCTCGTCTCCTCACTGTTCTCCTCCTCACGCCCTCCTCAACCCCCTGCGCTTCCTCATCCCTACTGAACCTCATCCTCCTCCCCGCTCTCCTCCACCTCCTCTCTACTTCACGAGACAACATTGACAAGCGCAAATTTGGAAGCGGAAGCGGTGCCCATTGTCTGAAGAACAACCGAGATCCGCTTAGTACAACGGCATTGAACACCTGCTGATATTAGGCCAGTGGGAGGAAAAGAGAGGCGACCTGACTCTTGGGCAAAAAGAAAAATAGTTTTCAGAAAAAGCAGAAATAATGAATCACAACACAACCGACGTCGTGCAAGACGGAACCTGAAATACAGAGAGATGGACATTTCACTGACACAACGAGCCTTTCATTGAACACATCTGCAAACCAAAACGAAAGTCACGAAATGGGAGCCCATAGCTCTCTCTCCTAGCGGCTTTGCTGCACCGACCTTCAACGAGCGATGGATAGCAGTGCTTCGGGCCCATAGAATATTCAAGCGGCGAGCAGCGTCAGTCAGCCCGACGGAACGATACATCTACAAAACGACTAAGACACAGATAGAGCACGGAGATGACCAGGTCCTCCGTAAGCCCGTGGTCGTTCTCCCAGAGCAAACTGATAAGGTCGCCGCTGGCCTCCGAGGGTTGCGAAACATAGCTGCGACGCGTGGCACATCGATCCAGATGGTCATGAACCCCCTTAGTCCAAAAGGGTTTGAATGAGCTCCATTTTGGGTGCCCCCTTGAAGACCAACAACTTAATGAACCGGGGGCGCGCAAAATGAAATCTTCCTCAACAGCACGGCGTCTCGGAGGTGAGAGGGCGAGATTGCGATGGAACGGCAGACTCCAACCGGGCACTAGGTTTCTGTTCGCGTTCGTGTCGTGCGTGCGGACGAGACGAACCTGCGTGGGCTCACTGAAACGAAGATGACCGTGGGGGGTTGACGAAAAGGTACCGATACCGCTGACCCCCGGACCTCTCCTGGGGTGCATTCTGACCAGAACTTCGAAGCGAATCCAGCGGAAACAAAAAGAAAATCCTTGGAGGCCCAAGAGGGTCAGAACGGCGGCCGGTCAGGGGTATCGGTACCTTTCCCTGCCCTGACGTGGGGCTGCTTGGCCGCCCCGCTCCTCCGCGGGTGCGCGGTGGCCCAAGGAGCCGAGCCTAAGGCACAGGAAAGCCGTGACGATGGCACGGAAGGCGTGTCGGTGGCGCGGGGGTGCCATGCCGTAGGCGCAAGGATGCTGTGCCGGTTGGCAAAAATGTCTGGGCGTGGTATCCCGTGGTGTCTCCTGAGATTGATAGTGGGATCGGTGTATCCATGGATACACAACACACCCTGCATTGGCGCTCCGCCCCATGCACCTCCTTGGTCCTTGCACCTTGGTCCGTGGTCTCTGGTCACGTTTTGCATTTTTTCTACATTGTTTTGAAGCTATTTCGAACAGTCATGGAGCTGCCTGCGAGCAATTTTGTATCTTGGGTCCCACGAGGCTCTCTTGGGGTGTCAAGAAGGCCTCTGGGGTTGCCTCGAAATGGCTTACGGTGCTTCTCGGGCGTTCTCGGACGCCTGGAAGGCTCAATAAACGGGAACATGAAAACCTTACATGCTCTATTACAAATCAATGTTTTGTCTGTTTCGAACACCTCTGGCTGGGTAGTCGAAGCCAACCTGGAGTCAATTTGGCGGGGCACAATCTGGCAAAAAGGCTGCGATCTGGCGAGAGAACCAGCGTGAATCCAGTCTGGCGACCAACCAACAATATCTAACCCCAGTCCTGCCAGACTGCCCCCAGTGTCCAAATCCCAAATCCAATCTGCCAGTCTTGCTATACAGGGAAGAACATTGGGTCGCCTTCGAGCGTCAGGGGTCCGGGTCCCATTGACGACATCTCAGAGAGAGCGCGCCCGCAGTGGCTGAGCAAAGGGGTGGGGCCGCCCTTAGCTACGCCCCCCCTCCCTCTGACTCCCCTCCCCCCCTTTCTCGTCCGCCCCTGCAAACTACCCCCCCTCCCCTCTCCGGAAGCTACCCCCCCGTGCCCACTTTTCCGAAAAGGGGGGAGGGGGGGGCTTCGTTCTCCCTCCTCTCTTGTACCCCCCCTCTTTGGAAGCTACCTCCTCCCCCTTTTTTCGGTCGTGGTGTTTTGGGGCGCGACTGGCTTGACCCAAGATCTTAGACCCAACAGAATGCGCGATTCTCGTCTTGGCCCATCTGCCTTCGTTCGTCCGTGAAGACCGCTCTCGTCACAACTTCAAGATTGAAGAATAGATGGCATCCCTACTTTCCTGCTCCATGACGCGGGTAATGATGGGCGTACGGGCCTCGTCCAAACATATCAGTCAATCGGGCCGGGTGAACTTACAACGGGCCCCCGCGTGCTTCCTGAGCCGCACTACTGTACTATAACCCTCGCGCGCGCGTCGCGCGCGCCCGAATTCTACCGGTGTGGCGACGAATGGGCACCACACGCAAATGAGAGAGAACCGTGGTTTTTAACGACCACACGTTCGCTCGTCTGCGAATCCCTTGGGCACTACTGAGACTTCGTCTTGGGCCATGAGTGGCATGCATTGGAGTGACGCAGGAAGAGGGCAAGGGCATCCCGAGGACCTAAGGTGGCCCGACCTGGGCTCAAGGAGGGCTCGATGAAGGAGAAGAGAAGCATGTCAAAAGGAGTATCCCAAGCGTGTGGCTACTCTCGGGTCCTCTTCAAATGGTCCTTGATATAGTATTTGAGTCTAAGTGGGCCTCTGGCAGCGAAGAAACACAGAGTGGAAGGGAGAGGCACGAGAGGGGAGGGGAGCCGCGGAAGGTGGGAGAAGCTCGCAGGGGTTGGTGGGATGGAGAATCTCTTTCTTTGTAGGCTGAAGCTGGTGGATGGATCAAGGCTCAAAATTTAGTCCCAAGGTAGAGGATCCATCCTGTTCATGCTGGCAGATACTCGAACATGTGTCGATTTCTGACAACCCCAGGGCCCGCAACAACTATCAAGAAACACTTAATATCTCCTCCTCGTGGTCCTCTTAAAGCCACACGTCAAAGAACTGCAAACGATAAAACAATTCGTAATGCATCTTAATCCCTCCTCCTCCCTCCCTTGTCGATCCTCCCGTGTCCGGGGGACACTTTCTAGCTGGTGGTTTCGGGAGTCCTCTTGCGTCTAGAATCTCGAGTCGTGACGCGGGACATGTCCCGGGATGCCCAATTTTGGGAGGATGAAAGGGTACCGATACTGCTGACCCGCTGGCCTCTCCTGGGGGCCATCAGCGGGAACAACGAGAAAATCCCTGGAGGCCCCGGAGGGCCCGAATGGCGGCGGGTCAGCGGTATCGCTACCTTTTCCTGCCCCGAAATTTAGGGCCCTCTCGACATTGTCTTGGGCGGTCGTGGGCACCGCTTGGGCTGCCGTTGGGCGCCCCACCGCCTTAGTGTCCTCTTGGAAGCCGTGTGCGAACAATGTTTTGGGCTTCCGAAGCCACTGGGCGCACGGAACATAAACAACACAATTGTTCCAGGGACCTCGCTGCCCCTCTTAATGGCATCTTGGGCCGTCTGGAAGACGTATGGGCCCCCCGTGGAACGTATCTGGGAACTCCCAGAAATTCGGGGAAGGTTTGGGAGACGCCCCAGGAGGATGAGGCCGTCAGTGCCATGTTGACGTTCCTGATGGTCTCCGCCCCAGGGGTTCGGGGGTCAAATTTGCAGCACATGAGAGACAGAAACGACTACCGCACTTCGCGCGAGTTTTGCTTCTAACCGCGCTCATAGGACGCGGAACGGAAACAACCGACGTGCCATTGAAGAGCGCAAGGGCGATTCGAGATCGAACATGCATTGTGAACGCATTCCGGTCGCCGACGTTACGATTCTAGGCTACCCTTGAATCTTGTAATCAAACTTCGGCTGCTTCATAGATCGGCGTCCACTTAGAATTTGGATGAGTTTCCTCTCCTCGTGCGCATTTCGCGGCGCATATTGGAAACTGAGAAAAATACTCAGCGCGGAACCCCCACTACTCGTCGGCGCTGGGACGCCTCCGTCGCACGACATTTCGGGGCCAGCCCTGGGGGCAGCCTGCAAAAATCAAGCGTAGCTTGAGACGGCTCTTGAGCCCAAACAGCCACAGGAGACTGCTTACGGGTTACTCGATGCCACGAGCGATTCGAGTTGGCTCCCCAGGCCTCTCCTGAAGGTCATCTTGGGGCCACCTTGAGGGGCATTAGGGGTCTCATCGGGAATGCTGAGGGCGCTCACCGGGACCGCATTTCTGGCCCTGGGGGACCTCTGAGGAGGCTTCTGGACCTTGCTGGCGGTTTCTAGGGCATCCTTGGGACGGAAGGCTCAACCTAACAGATCGAGCTCATTTCCGTGCGTGCAAAGCTGCTCCCTACGTAATGCATGGAAGATGCCCAGATCGTTCGGGATCCGCGAGGGTCCGATGAGGGAAACTCGGAGGGCAACGTGAGACAACGGCGGTGAGACAACGGTAGCAAAATCGGCTCAAAATCGGTGCCAGGACCCCTCCCAGGGTACAAACGCATCGGTTGTTTGAGCTGCGAGGAGGAGAAGGAAGAACAGGATAGTGGAGAAAAAGGAGGATGGGGCGGGCGGGGCGGGACCCCGCCTGCGCCCGGTTCCACCGGCTCTCGGCGTGCCTGGGGCGCCCAGCCGCACCTCCCTCTCCCTCCCCTCCTTTCCTCATCCTCCCCTTCGGCTCCCACTCCCCCTCCCTCTCCCCCATGAAACCGCCCTCTCCCCCTCCCTCTCCTCCTCCTTCCTTCTATCTATCAATCTCTCTCTCTCTCTCTATCTCTCCTCCCTTTACTGTATAAAGACACCATGTGAATGCTACGATCCTCATCTCTCCCCTGATGACGTGCGGAGGACATTCATCCCACTCGTGCAGATTTGTGCTAGATCGCTGCTCAGAGATTGGCTCTTTCCGAGTCCTGCTTCCGCTGCAGCGATAACCTTGAAATTTGCGCTCCATTTGTTGGTTGAAATGAGTGTTGAAATCCGAACGTGTTCGTTTTTTCAGAAAATGCTCAGACAACTGCAACGCTGGCATCGATTTCGGGCGTTTGCTCGTTCAATCTCGTGCTCCCGCGGAAGCGCTAGCCCCGTGTTCGCGCTTCCGCCCTTTCGGAATCGTGCCCCCGCTGCATGGCTGGCCTTGTTTTCGCGTTTCCGCTGAATCAGACTCGAGCTTCCGCTTCAGCGCTTGCCACATGTCCAGTGCAACGACATGGTATGCAATACAATGCTAAATTGTACTCCGATGTGCGATGCCATATGATCAGCTGCAATGCTAGGATATGAAAACTGTACGACGCAATGCCACGTCATGCGGTTCCACTCTACGCTTTTGCCAGCAACGTCACGGAACGCAATCGTATGCTATGCCATGCTACGACATCCGACTGTGCGAATAAACCACAGACCTACGACATGGTAAAGCAAGGGAGGCAGGATAAGACGTCAGATGCAGCTTTCCCTCTCTCCCTCCCTCTCCACCTCCCAGCCCACTCTCCCTTCATCCCCCTCTCCCCTTCCCTCGCCTCCTCCCCTTCTGAAAATTGAAAACGTATGAACACTACTCTCTTCAAATCCGTCTGGTTCTTTCCCAGAGATTGCCAACAAAATGGTTTTCATGTTCTGGTCTTCGATCCGATCCGCCTTGCGTTCGTTACACACAACTTGCCAGCGAATTAGGATTTTACCTTGCAGCACATGCAAATCCAGTGCTTGCAAATTAATCCCAAATCTAAGGAAAAACAGTGCACCCGAACAAATATTGAAAGTGATTGTGCATCCAATGCTGATTCGTGTTGACTGTCTTTGGCCGCGACTAGCCCCCCACGCTCGGGGAATTCCTGGATTCGAATCATGTCAAGCGGGAACAAACATCGTCCCGCACAAACCGTGCGTTCGTTGTGGCGTTGCCTTCGTTTCCGTCATCTGAGGTCCTACCTCTCGGTTCATAGCCAGTCTCGGCGTCTGACTGCGAATTAAGAAATCAGCGACATAAAAAAGGAGAAGGGCTAGGACATCAGATATTGCGCGCGCACCTGGCCCTCTCCCCCTCTCTTCCCCCCCTTCCCATCTTCTTCTCCCTCTCCTCCCCCTCTGACGAGAAGATGGCGCCATCGCCATACCCACTGCTTCTGGCGCATCCGCCCTGATGAGGGGCGGTCGTCGTCTTGAGGGCGATCATGATCTTGTTGCTGGCAGAAGACGACGACAAGAAGGAAGAACAAGATGGAATCGGAGGAGGCACAGGAAGAGGAGCATTCAAGATCATTTTGAGAACTGTGGAGACAGGAAGGGCATAAGGAAACAAATGACGAGAAGGAGAAAAGGCGGACGACACTGTCGTCCGAATCCCCCTCACTCCGATTTTCGCCTCACAAACATTGGGAATTGGACCGTCGAGAACCGCATCAAAAAATGCTCAACCAAACGTTTTGGGACTCGCGCGTACCGTGTTGGGTCATCGTTGAGGCAATGTTGCGCCGCAAGCAAGCGTTTTCGGTGACATTATGTCTCGGGTTGCCTTGCGCACTCGAAAGCCGAAAACGCCAGCATGGAAACAAAGACATTAACGCCAACAAAGCATCAATATTTACTGCGTGGTTGGCAGAAAACCTCTCGGACCCTCCGTCACGAGAACATCTGAAACTGCATCGGGCCCGTCAAGGGGGCCTTCCGCTTGGAACATCCTAGGCCACCTATCTTCGCGAATCGCGCCCCGCGACGCGCGGTTATCCTCGCGCCCTCGCGCCGCCCCCCGGAGAAAAGGAGGTCGCCCGAGCGTTTCTCCTGGAACATCCTCGACACATGAACATGAAGCATCCTCGAGACATCGCCTTGAACGTCCTGGTGCATCCAGCTTTGGCTTCGCATCTCAGGACGCCACAATTCGACACTACCATGATCGGGAAAGTAACGCAAACGTGTTTCGATGATCATGCCAGAGCGCCATCAAATGTTCCCCACGATAGCCCAAGACGCAGTTGGATAACAACTATTCAGCTAGAAAAAAAGTTCCCTCGAGAAATCAGATAAACTGTTCCTTCGGGTGGTCTTTCAATTGTCTCCAAAGTTTGGCCAAGAAACGCACATATGAACACATACGTGCGTGGGGCTCGGTTTTCAAATCACCACTGGAAAACTGGCGATGAGGAATCAACACTCGACAAAAAATCCGCAAGTTGAACACACGCGCAGTATACCTGTCGTAAAGTCGCTGGCCGATATTCCAAACGGTTCCCCACGAACATCCTTTCCTGCGAGTGTGGCTGATATTCAAAATATTCTGACAGCTAGGAAAATCTACAAGCCAAGCGATGGGAATTCTCATTTCAACCGTATCAACCTAGTTGGCACGTGCTGCGTGCAAACACGTGTCGCCCAAGTGACCACAATCAACATGCAAGAAAGGAGCGCCGATGAGAAAAAACGAGCAGTTGAGAGGGGTCCAAGGGAGGTGGCGCATAGTGGGTAGTCTCATGAAGATGGGGTACAAAAGCGAACTTCATTAAACTACATCAATCTCCAAGCGTGCAGAGGAGAAATGAATAGAGGAAGAGCGTGAAACTGAAAGCATGAGAAACATATGATTTGGGATTTGTTCGAAAAATATTCAGACAGGAGTGTTTCGGTCGAGATGTTTAGCTTTCGAATCCGTGAAACACTGGGGATCTAGCCGTCCTCCTCCTCCTCCTCAGCCTCCTCCTCGTCCTCAATATTCCCTTTCTCCATCGTTCACCTCCTTGTCTTCGTCCTCGTCTTCCTCATTGTCGTCCTTCTCCTCCTCGTACTCCCCCCTTTCCCTGGACCGCAAATGTGGTTCCTCAAACGCCAGGGGCGGCGGTGTTTCGCCATCGGCATATCGGCATCTTCGAATTTTCGTTAAGTCACTGGGGTCGTCCTCTCCACGCTTCGGCTTCCTGTAGCTATCCTCCCGATCTCGCACCCCGCGGGGATAACGAAGCCTGATAAAGAACACAAGCTGCTCGGACGGGGCGTCCATGCAAACGTCTGCCTGGCAATCAGGGTGAGGAGGATAAAAAGGAAAAGGGTGAGAACGGAGGAGGAAAAAGGGGGATAATGGAGGAGGAGGAGGAGGAGGAGGTGAGAGGAGGAATCTGTGGTAAAGCCTGTAACGATGCACACTGGCAGATTAGCAGACACGCGCAGCATCAGAAGATGTCGGTCACGTGCACCATGCCACCATGGACCAGAATCATACAACACTCCTTGAGCTTACCACCTAGAATGGCAACCGATGGAACGATACACCTGCGGCATAATCCCGACGTTGATGCTGTTGGAGATCGTGGCGTGGGTGGCACAACATGAAGGCGATGTGAAACATGGTGTCGCCAATGATGGGTGCCCACCTTCCTCCTGTGTCCTCCTCCTCCTCATTCATCCTCATTCGCTCCCCCCCTTATCAATCATGTTCCTCTCTCCGCCCCCATGATACTCCTCATCCTTGTATATTGCTTTGTTTCTACTCGACGTCCTCCTAGCTGTGCCTCGGACACAGCGGGTGCAACAAAATATCTTGGGCGTCGCAAGCCACCCTGACCTTCCAAATTTAAGACCGGAATCAGAATCAACCGCTCACACATGTTTAAAACAAGCAGAAGACAAATGAATGGACGAACGCGTTCGTGTGGTGACTCACCCACGAGCGCAAAAAATCAAGCCCCCCGCACAGGAGGCTCCCTAGAGGGCACGACAGGCCCGAAGGGGCCCCCATGAGACTCCAAGGAGCCCCCAAAAGGCCTCAGGAAGCTTCAAGACAGCCTCCCAAAGGAACCAAGGAGGCGGAGAAGGAGGAGGTGGAGGAGGAGGAGGAGGCAGAACGATGCAGCTATGGCCTCTGGGCCCTCCGGGAGGGAGGAGGAGGAGGGGGAGGAGGAGGAAGAGGAGGAGGAGGAGGAGGAGGAGGAAAAGGAGGAGGAGGAGGCCAAACACGAGACCCCAACCAAGACCATGAAGCTTCTGACCGATTACCCAAACACGGTGGCGGAGAGGGCCGAGGGCCACCAATCCGCCGCCCCCTTGTCGATTCATCGCGCGGGTGCCTGGCGTGCTAGACCCTCTCGGTTCTGGTTTTGGCTATTTTTTGGGAACTCCCCCTGGGGTTTCGGCTCGTCCCGCCAGCCACCCGAAAAGGCTCGGAAACAAGCTCAACGACAAGAGAAACAAATTGTCCAGGATGGCTCGAGATGGCCTCCAAGACGGCCAAGATGGCCTCCAAGACGGCTCAGATGGCCCCAAGATGCTGCCAAAGATGCCCAAGAGTTTCCCCAGAGGCCCCGAGAAAGGTCCAAGAGGCCTCCAAGAGCTCCTCCAGCAGGGCTTGCCGAGGCCAAAATCATAAATTTTTCACCGGTTTTAAACAGATTTTGGCATTTACGCCTTTTCGGCTTTCCGACGCCCCAAAGGCCTCCCAAAATCGCTCCAAAATCGTCAAAGATGCATCCAACATGGCCTCACGACGGCGCAAGAACCCCCCAATACGCTGCCAAGAGGGCGCCGAGATGGCCCAAGAGGCCTCCAAGATGCCCAAGATGCTCTCCCTGGTGGCCTCCAAGACGGCTCAAATGGCTCCAAAATGTCGCCAAGACGGCCCACGATGAACCCAAGACAACCTAAGATGGCATCGGGACGGCCACGGTCCAAGAGTACCCCCAGAGGCCC